GTGATCAGATTTGATTCAACTAAGACAAAACTTTTGTTTTCAGTCATTAAACTTGCACTGAGGGGGACGCAGTGGGTAGCACGTTCGCCTCACAGGTCGCTGGGTTGATCCTCGGCTCAGTTGGCATTTCTGTGTGGAGTTTGCATGTTCTCCCTGCGTTCGCATGGGTTTCCTCCAGGTACTCCGGTTTCCTCCACAGTCCAAAGACATGTGCTTTAGGTGGATTGGGTAAGCTAAATTGTCCATAGTGTACTGTATGTGTGTGAATGAGTGTGTGGATGCTTCCCAGAGATGGGTTGCAGCTGGAAGGGCATCCACTGCGTAAAAATGTGCTGGATAAGTTGGCGGTTCATTCCGCTGTGGCGACCCCGGATTAATAAAGGGACTACACTGACAAGAAAATGAATGAATGAATGAATATTTAATGGGGCCCCTCAGATATCCTGGGGCCCTAAGTGGCCGCTTACCTCGCTTATTGAATAAATCCGTCCCTGATAACAGAAAATCGCCATGCCAACATAACCAATGATCTGCAATGGATGCAATAAACACATGCACTAACACAAACATGTGAATTAAGGTGGTGTTGCAATAGAAATGTCTGACATGACAGAACGTTGCCATGTCAACAAAAACAACCCTCTGCAATGGACGCTGCATGCAAACACATGTGCACAAGCATCATTTCTACAGGGAAAACAAGCTCGTACCATTTCTCCCACTGCTCCTCCGTCCACTCGTCATTGCCATCACCGTTTGAGTCCATCCTGTGAGCCGTGCAGCGTGGGATTGTGTTGACATCTGCTCATATTTCAGCGTCCTCCATTGGAGCTGCTCGGAGTGAGCTCCAGATTTCTCCTTTCGCTCTCATGATGAACAAATCTCCATGCATTCTTTTCTTTATGTATCTCTCTTGCCCTTGGGGATGTTTTACCTGCGTCCTTGCATCTGTAACTGGAGTCAGGCAGGAAAAGAAGACCGAATATAAGCAGTGCCGAGTCAGAGATGCTGCATGATGCTCTCCTTCTGCTTCTACATCACAATCATTCACATCACTTGGACCAATAGCAGAGCTGCATTTTACAACATCACTCTTCCTCTCTCTGCTTCTTGTCTCCAATGTCGCCCTTCCCCCACATACACACACTTGCATGCGTGCACCCACACACACACACACACACACACACACTCAGATGTTACATATGTATTTTCAAAGCAATTGGAATTTGAAAACAAATGACATACATTAGTAATGATAAAAAGTAACAACAATAATATTATTAATAATAATACATAAATAAATTAAACAATACCTAATATATTAATCAAAACAAAAACAAATAATACTATAATTTGCAAAAATAATAATTAAAAAGGAAAATAATAATAATAAACAAACTGTATGTTTGTGATAATATTAAAACAATAACAAATAATAATAAAACGACTAATATTAAGCAAGATATTTAAGGATCACAACTTTAGGATTCTATAATAAATACAATAATAACAATAATATAATATATAATAATAATTATATAATATCTAATAATAATATAAATAATAATAATAAACAAATAGTATATTTGTTATAATTATTAAAACAATCACAAGTAATAGTAGACCTAATAAAAAATAATAGTAATAATAATAGTAATAAATAATAATAATAATAATAAAACATCTAATAGGAAATTTAAGTAGGCTATCACAACTTCATTCATTAATTCATTAATTCATTAATTCATTAATTCATTAATTCATTCATTTTCTTTCCTTTTTCTTTTACACACTCATTCACACACATACAGTACACTATGGACAATTTAGCTTACCCAATCCACCTAAAGCACATGTCTTGTGGAGGAAACCGGAGCACCCGGAGGAATCCCATGCGAACACGCCACGCGAACAAGCAAATTCCACACAAAAACGACAGCTGACCCAGCTGGGGCTCGAGCCAGTGACCTTCTTGCTGTGACGCAATTATGCCACTGCGCCCCCGTGCTACCCACCGATCACAACTTTAGGATTCTACAATAAAAAAATAAATTAATAATAATAATAATAATAATAATAATAATAATAATAAGGATATAATAATAATGGTTTTCCTAGGGATGTGTTGCGGCTGGAAGGGCATCCGCTGCGTAAAAATATGCTGGATAAGTTGGCGGTTCATTCCGCTGTGGCGACCCCAGATTAATAAAGGGACTAAGCCGAAAAGGATATGATCGAATGAATAATAATGGTCCGTCTGTCCATCCATCTAGATAGATAGATAGATAGACAGACAGACACTGGACTAAAGTGTGTGTCAGTGTGTGTGAGTGTGCACATGCATGTACAATGACAAGGGTATGACACAAGTATTACAATGAGATTGTATTGTGAATTATGAAGCCATTTGTTGCATCCCCATTTTTTAAAAAGCGGATAAAGGTTGTTGCTAGATTGCAGTTGCGGCAGAAGGTTAACGGAAATTAATTGCATTATTTATTCAATTTCCCGTTAATTGTATTTTATTAACGTCTACCCCATCCCCATAAACCCAACCGTCACAGTAATGTAAATATATTAATCAATGTTATACAGCTGTTTCCCATGATCCTATCTAGACTTTGCCCCAGTACAGTTGGTGGCGGTAATTCACCACCTTAGAAAGCTGCTGCTCCAAAGAGTAGAAGAAGAAGATGATGATGATCAGCATGTGGGGTATCTACGTTGCAATCTTCATCAGTCGCATCCTAAATGAATGAATCGAGCTTTACATCTCTTGTGGACATTTAACGTTTAAACCGAGGAGATGAAATGAGACAATAACCAAAAATCATCGTCAAAACAGGTAAGAAAATCCAAACGTCACAGTAAATTTCCTCTAAACGACCATCTTTATTACATAAATAACTTTAGCAACGAGTGTCACTGATAATGGAGGCACAGCGTTCTTGGAAGAATCATCTCTTTCTTCCTCTCACACAAACACTGCCTCCTTTAACTTACTCTCAGGGGATTGAATTTGCTGGTGTTTATTCTAGTAATTGTATGGCATTAGGGTCCAGCTGGGGGACAGAGAGAGGCACACAATGACTTGCTGTTCGAGTAAAACACTGAAAACTTCTCTTGGACACGACACGAGAGAGAAAATCATATTAATTCGTGTTGAATGAAAACACATTCGCGAATCACGATGTTCTGTTGTCCAACTTTTCATCAGCACAAAAGAAACGCCACGTTTAAATGTTTGTAGCGTCTTTACGTCTAAGCTTTTGGGAAAACCCGTTAAACGTATTTACTTTCTGAAGGTGTTTAGATTAAATAGTTAACCGTCGTCTGCGTGTCATATCCGGCAATGAATCATGGATTATTCTACTATCGTCATCGGTAAACTAACGTTAATGTTATGTTACCTGCCTTTGAGTCAGTCCAACAATGAAAACATCGAGGTCAAGTTGCTTTGATATTCGCACATTCGTTCAGTGACTACTTGTGAGATGCTCCCTATATTGTTTACTAATGGTGAATATTCGGTCTTTAATCCCATGATGGCTATGACTTGAAAACAACATTATCACTATTTATTTGACTGAACAATGTTTCAATAGTCAAAATATGATTTCACTATTTAGAATTTGCGAGAAATATTTTTTTAAACTTATATTGTTATGGAGAAAGTCAATATGTCTGAAATTGGTATCACCTCAGACCTTCATCCTGTAGCTTTTCGTCCTGAATAACAATTATTTGTTCACAGAATGTTTACTTTTTACATCCTTGTGTGTTCAAAACAACTTTACAATAACCAAAAGAGAACATAATTAATGTTTTAGGTCATTTTAAATGTTTTAAGTAAGCGCCCACATTGATTTTGAAACTTTATTGTTGCTAAAACTAACCGTGAGTGATCTTTCTGTGGGTTAGGTTTTATAATGTTAGGTTATTATTATACATTATATATATATATATATATATATATATATATATATATATATATATATATATATATATATGCTTGTGTTTTTTTAATTAGAGTTTTTAATTTCAAAATAATAACATAACATTTCAAGAACACCATTTTATGGTTGCATAAAATAACCTAAAAATATGTGTATATTAATATGTTAAATGTGATTTATTTTTTTTGTCGTTATTTAAAAACGAGGGTGGTGCGGTGGCTCAGTATTTAGCACTGTCACCTCATAGTGGAGTTTGCATGTTCTCCCCGTGTTGGTGTGGGTTTCCTCCGGGTGCTTCGGTTTTCCCCACAGTCCAAACACATGCGTTATGGTCAACTATGCACTATTGAATAAACTAAATTGGCTGTAGTGTGTGTGTGTGTGTGTGAGTCTGTATGGGTGTTTCCCAGTACTAGTTTTCAGCTGGAAACACATCCGCTGTGTAAAACATATGCTGGATAAGTTGGCGGTTCATTCCGCTGTGGTGATCCCTAATAAATTAAGGGACTCAGCCGAAGGAAAATGAGTGAATGCTTGTATTTAAAAACTAAAAACAAAACAAAATGGAGCCGTCCATCCATCCATCTGCCACCAAAATATGAATATAATCTCATTTAAAGCTGACACGATTTGAAAATCGGCCAGGCTCATTTTACTAGTCATAAACTCCTTTGAATAGTCTCTGTATTTTAATATCATATTTGATAATGCTAAATTTATTCACAGGATGGTCAGGGTTATTGTATGTTTATTTTCCCAACTATAAATAACCTAAATTGAAAATGTGTAATACCTATGTTAGACACATCTCAAATACTAATACAGATGATTTCTCGTGAAATAAATTTTTTAATGATTAAAATGACGACTAATTCAGTCTGGGAATAAACCTTAACCTTAACTCCAGAGATACTAAAATAGCAAAGACAGACGGGGGGTTGAAAAAAGCAAGTGAGCCGCAAGGAAGGAAGATGAATAGGGAAGAAGCGGTTTTGTGTTTGGATAGATTGATGTTTTTATTGACGTTTGCCTATTTAAAGCTCA